GTTCCTATGTTGTTTTACCCTCACGAAATTCTATAGACCAAAGTAGTGTCAATATTGCCTATGTTACTTATATTAAATTTATTTTGTTTTTATCACATTTTGCCACGACTATCCAAAGATATTAAATTAAAACCTTATTCAACATATCCATATGCACAATAAACTTTCAGATGTACATTCATCTGGAAAACTGTTATGGATAAATCATCATTATTTCAAAATATACAGTAGAACGTGGTTCTATATATTTATGTAAAGTTAATTATTAATGAAATCATGAAATGGCATTTCAAATGAAAGGAGACATTTCTTTTTCCAAAAATTTCTTTTGTCATTGCCAAAAAATAAATTCATCATATACTTGTAGAAAATAATGGTATAATTGTACCCCTTGATAAAACTAATTTATACATATATTTATTCAATAAATTTGAAGAATTGTCTTAGTCGTGTGATATGACTTTTGTTATCAACTGCTTCCGGTATATATCAATTGTTTCCGGTTTATATCAACTGCTTCCGGATGTAATCGCATGCCTTTCTTTAACGTAATCGCAAAGCATTTCGACATCATTCTGCAAATTCCGGAAAATATACCTCAGTGGTACATTTAAGTGAAAAACATAGCTAAGTAGAATAACTGAAGGATTATTAGGAAACAGGAAAGTATATTATTAAAAAAACACAAAACAAACAATACAATAAATGAATTTTATAAAGTTTTAAAAAAGTGTTGATGTCTATATGGCTTCTGCTGAAGTTTATGATAAAAAGAACATAACATGTCATTTTTCATATCAGACCCCTTATCAGCCCATGGTCAAAATCATCCCTCGGCTCTCGGGCTAATATCATGACCTAGGGCTGATAAGGGGTCTGATATGAAAAATGCCATGTTATAATCTATATATATATGTACCAGTGTTTATAAAGGGATTTGTGTGCCCTTTTTCATTAGTTTAATATATGTTATTATAAGCTATTAAACCAAGAGTTCCAAATGGTGAAGTTGAAGTCATCCCTTCGTAAATTTTACGGACGCCATCACGAGTTGGTTGACCGTTATTGAATAACCGTTTCACAGATGATATCGGATATGTTCCTTATGTCGTAACTACAATACCCTTCCCTTTTCACGAATGTGACTTACCAAATTAGACTTTTTACCGGATTTGTAATAACATAAGCAACTCGACGGGTGCCACATGTGGAGCAGGATCTGCTTACCTTTCCGGAGCACCTGAGATCACCCCCAGTTTTTGGTGGGGTTCGTGTTGCTTAGTCTTTGGTTTTCTATGTTGTGTCATCTGTACTGTTGTTTGTCTGTTTGTCTTTTTTGTTTTTGGCCGTGGCGTTGTCAGTTTGTTTTCGATCTGTGAGTTTGACTGTCCCTCTGGTATCTTTCGTCCCTCTTTTATTTTGGTCATATCGAGGATGTTATTGCTTTTCTTTATATTTTTCTACAAGTAAAGTAAGGTGTTGATCTTGGAACAAATCTAAACCATCATATCATGTAGTAATATGTGTTATAAATTGTACTACAACTTTTGTTTGATTTCAAATATTTATATTTTTTAATTTGTGATGGGCATTTATTGCCCCAAAATGTTTTATACATGGAGTTCTGAACCAAATAATCAAGACAAATCTATAGTCATGGAAAAAATGTATTAGAAATGCTTGTGTATTGAAGTGCAGAACACATAATGGAAGATGTGAACTTCAATAGCATTTTGATTCGTTTCACTCTTGCATGTCATAGCGTTTGATGTAATGCTGTCCCCCTTTATTATATGAAATTGTGTAATCCAAGTGGAATCCATAGATTGCTGGAATTATTTTTTATAAACCAGTGTATTATACGCATTTATTTTCTTTACATGTATACGTGCCGTATGGTATGATCTACCTTATACTTTTATATATATGGTAAATGGGAAGTAATCTTTACTGTTACATATATCATAAATTGATGACATGAAGGACGGAGAATGACCACTGGACATAACCGTTAGATTTGCGTTCATTTAATCAAATATATATTCCCCGTATGCCAACAGAAACTAATCGATGTTGCTATACTTGTTGGATGTTGTTTTAAAAGTAAATTCAATAATTGGGAACATTTGCAGTTTAATAGTAAACATTATTTTACTCTTTGAAAATATCACCTTTTCAATCAAATTTAAATTGGAATGAACAAAGGCAAATATAATTAAAACTTTAAAACAAAACACATAAGTTAAAACAATTAATTAAATAAATTGCATTTTGAATTAACCGAAATGGAGGTTTAGACTGTTGAGTAAAAAAATTTACAATTTGTGAAATGTGACATTTTTGTGTGTGCTTTATCTGTAAATATATCTATATGTTTGCTTTCACGGTTATTGGAAAGATATCATGTAAGATAACAGTTATTTGAAAATATGTATACCCCTTAGTCTAGTGATCTTTAATATGCTTTCATTGAACTGTCAACAATAAGTAGAGGTTTGTTTTAGCGTTCCTTGAATAAAGATATCTTCATTTCAAACAAGGAGAAAACAGATACAAATAATATTGATTTATTGTAAACAAACAGAAAAAAGTGATATTACTTTGAATTTTAATTAGAACACTTAGCGTACCTGCACAAATTATTACTACTATTTCTTTAATTTCAATCACACATTATTTCTTGAATGCCAATATTGTTTCTGTATTTTGTCGGCAGATCAAAGGATGGAGGCATTTAAGGAATAAACTATTGCTGCGGAATGTGTGTTAAGGAGTCGATAAGCTCATCCTTACGAAATACTAGACAGTCATACTAATATTTTTTTTTCAATTCTAAGGGTAAATTGTAAGCCTTTAATAATGCCAGTTGAACAGACCTAGCCAGACTCCCCTTATGAACATGTTCTTTATTAGATATTTATACCATTTGGTAAACATACCTCAGCACAATTTTTATTTCAAAAGCAACTAAGAGAGAACCCTTAAGGTATAAATTATGTTTCATGTCTTCAAAAGCTTGAGTTCCCCATTTTTGGCCTGTGATTAAAGTATAACTATCAAACCATGTTGAACCAATTAAATCAGCGCATTATAAAATCAAAGCTACAATGCGCAATTCAAACGTTTTTGATTCTGAAATATTTGATTATTTTGATAACATATCGATAGGGGAACGTAAATCTTATGTTGATCAACTTACTAGGAAATCTGATCGATCTAATATAGCTCAAAAGAGACTATAAGCACTCATAACTTCGGAATCGCAAGTTGGAGATTTAATGAAATTGCTTGAAATAACACATTTTGTATAGTATGAATGCAAAATAAAACTGAGGACGAAATCAACATCATGCAGCGTTGTCAAAATTATAAAAAGGAAAAAAAACCCGTTGAGGTAAAAGTAAAGATATTTATTGAATTTTAAAACTATCAATTATGATAATGTTAAATCAAAATTATTTTCTAACAGTGGGTATTAACAAATACTAAAGTTGTTCATCTTAAATTTCTTAATTGTCTTATATTGAAAAGGATGTGATACAATACTATAAAGTTTATTACATACATTATATGTATTCTGTAGATGCAGTCTTTTTTAAAGAATTGAATGCTTCTTTGTGTAATTTTTGTTGGATGCTAATGCGTTTAATGAATTACATTTTGAACCAGGCGCTTTCGCGCCAAAACGCTTCATGACAAAAATTTGTCCCTATTCCTTCCTATAGTTACATGGTTATGTTACATTTATAAGGAGCATATTGGAACAGTTCAATAAGTTTTGATGGAAGAGCATGTAAAGACATCGTATTGTTATTTTATCCTCCATAAGTGACGTAATATAGAAAAGAACCGGGAATTGGCTTTACGAATGAGTGACCGGAAGTCATTCAAACAGAAAGGTATACTATACATTCATGGCGAGAAGTCACATGAAAAGTGATTTATAGACGCCGCCATCTTTGGTGGGATTACTGTGCATGCATGAACGAAATTCGTTATTTCCTGTCAAGTATGGAATAGAGGACTTTTTCAGTAATGATTTCGTTAGGAAACTCTCAGCTTGGTATGTAAGGAGTTTGATTCTCGGTTTTTTTCCCTTATATATCGAAAATTCAATATCTTGCAAAACTAGGACGAAAAGTTGATGAAAGCTGTACCGTGAATCGACCCACCAAATCGTTGGAAATTCCATCAATGAGAAGTGACGTAATATAGAAAAGAACCGGGAATTGGCTTTACGAATGAGTGACCGGAAGTCATTCAAACAGAAAGGTATACTATACATTCATGGCGAGAAGTCACATGAAAAGTGATTTATAGACGCCGCCATCTTTGGTGGGATTACTGTGCATGCATGAACGAAATTCGTTATTTCCTGTCAAGTTTGGAATAGAGGACTTTTTCAGTAATGATTTCGTTAGGAAACTCTCAGCTTGGTATGTAAGGAGTTTGATTCTCTGTTTTTTTCCCTTATATATCGAAAATTCAATATCTTGCAAAACTAGGACGAAAAGTTGATGAAAGCTGTACCGTGAATCGACCCACCAAATCGTTGGAAATTCCATCAATGAGAAGTGACGTTAATACGGCAAATATCAGCCAAGCGTAAACCATGTTACCATGGCATAGATGCTCTATAGTAGGTCCGTCTTCATAGATTCCTATAATCTTTTATTCTGACTAATGTAACATTGTCTTTTACAGCTAATCTCAACGGTATGAAATGCGACAAATCTATGAGTCAATGGTCCGTTTGTGGCCTGTTTATCCCAAAATAATACCAAAAAATAATAAAATTCATTATACCAGCTTTTTGGTGTGGCAGTCTAAGTTTTTGTTTTAACGTTGCGACGCGCAAATCTACACCGAAGACGTTTTTGTATTGGAAAATAGTTTTAATCTGCACAACATAATTATGTATACATGTACAACATAATAACAGATACTGTAGTGTTCTACATTATAACCTTTTCAGCTAAATTTACGTAATACATCGTTCTAAATTATGACCTTTACCGGTTATTAAAAATAATGTGTACAATTTATGGATACATATTTCGTCTAGCGTATAAGGAAGATGACTTGGATTAACGTGTTTGTATTTCTTTCAGCCATCGCGCTAGTTTTATTGAATACTGTAACCAAAGGACAATTACTAAAGGAAGGAGATTGTATAGATATACCCGCTGTTGAAAAGTTTGACTGGCACAAGGTATGGGAATTCATAGAAAATTGAAAAAGATGTATTCGTTAATAATTGAATTATTCTTTTGTAATTTAAGGGTTGTTTACGAATTCAGCGAAAAACATTTTGATTATTTTTAAATTTTCAATGCACTCAAATTTGGAGGGAGACCTGAGTATAGAAATATAATTTCCTTAACTTTCTCAGGGCTGTCGTAAGATCACCTGGACATTGGCATCATATTGATAGAGCCAGCTTTAACTTAAGGGTGTCTCAGACGTAAGGATTTAAAAAAAAACCACACACGTTTCTTTTAAAAAATGATTAAAAATGATTGCACCGAGATCATGAAGATCTAAAAAAAAATCGTAAGGGTTCCTCGGAACTCAGGGTCTCGCCTACTTTTGCTGTAAGTCGCAGGCTCATAAAAAAATGGGGAAATAATTATAAAAAATGTTCCTCTAGATACTATCTTTTGATTGTAAGAAGCTTTTGTTAAAGTTTCGTAAGAATCCAGAATGGTTTATGAATCTAATTAATGTTTGAAAAAACTGTATGTAATGTTAACTGGAAGAAAAACTAAGTCCATTTATAAGTAATATACGGAAAAACAGGATTTTTTTTTTTAATTTCCTTCTAGATACTAGCTTTTGATCATAAACAAGCTTCTGTCCAAGTTTGGTACAAATCCAGAATAGTTTAAGAAAGTTATTAAAATTTTGAAAACTTATACCACAGAGTGAAAATTTTTTTTTTACAAAATTTAGTTCTGGTACTATCTTATGATCATAAACAAGCTTTTGTCCATGTTTGGTAGAAATCAAGGATAATTTAAGAAAGTTAATAAAATTTGAAAAACTTTAACCACAGAGTGATATTTGTGGACGCCGCTGACGACGACGACGGCGACGGAATGTTGGATCGCTATGTCTCTCTTTTGCGACAAAAATCGCATGCTCGACAAAAAGGAATGTTTATAACAGTATCTAACGAAAATAGCAAATGATTGTTATAAAAAGTGTAAAATGAAGTTGACAGCTGACAGTTTTTCAACAAACATAGCATTCCCATGGGAACCAACTGTGCCCCTCTTCTTGCCGACTAGTTCCCTTATTCATATGAGGCTGACTTCATACAGGAACTTCTTAGTAAGAAATAAAAGAAGTTAGCAGTATCTTTTAACTTTACTTTGAAAACAAAAACTTTATGACAAAAGAGATGATTTCAGGTTCCCTATTGTGAACCTTCCTTTTTTATGTAGCAACATTCCAGCAGCGCCTGCATACGGAGTATATTGTGTCCCAGTTGATACGATACTCCAGAGCATGCATTTCCTATCATGATTTCCTTAAAGAAGGTTGCTGCTCACAAGGAAGCTATTAAAGCAAGAGTTCAAAGTGTTGAAGTCGAAACCATCCCTTCCGGATTTTTAAAGGACGCCATCACGAGTTGGTTGACCGTTAAGGAATATCCGTTTCAGAGATGATAGCGGATATGTTCCTAATGTCTTAACTACATTCCCGTCCCCTTTTTCCAAATGTGACCTACCGAGTTAGACGTATTACCGGGTTTGTACTATTATGAGCAACATGACGGGTGCCACATGTGGAGCAGGATCTGCTTACCCTTTCCGGAGCACCTGAGATCACCTCCAATTTTAGCTAAAATCCAAACACTAAACCGGGCTCCTGAATCAAAAATTGCTCTCTAGTAACATTTATAACGTCTGATCCGAAATAGAAAGTTTGATTGTCCCTTCGATATCTTTCGCCTCTCTTTTAAATCTGATACTCTGCGTTGGTAGAATGCCAAATTATGTGCGCGTTTAGAACCCTTGAAACATCTCCCTTAGGTACCAAAGGTCTCCCACATGGGTATCCATAGGGAAAGATATTAGGCATAACAAATATCCCTATCGAACATTCACTCTATTCCTGTTTCCAGTCCAAAGAGGTGTGACCTTTATCAAAGTTCCATCATTATTTACTGCATTGTCTGTGTCTTTCGAATATGTAAATTAACATTATGTCGAATTTTTTATCGTGTCGCCTCCAAACAAATACCTAAGGATGTATAAATTCTAAATTTTGAGGGCGAACTTTTGAGTACTAGTATTCATCATTTGTATCATTCTCCAATAACCACTTTTGGCTGCCTGCGAAAAAAGTATATTATGATCGCAAAATACCCAATAGTATCATCATTAAATTTTTGTTAATACCCCCATACTTTCCAAAAATTAGGCATTATAAATATGTTACAAATAATAGTTCCAAAACAATGGAGAACATTGTCAAAAAAACATCTTCAAAAGCTGTTTAGATAATGAACTTTAAACGCCATGTAAAATCGTTTCAGATTGCTGGTAAATGGTTTATTCAAGAAAGATTTGGTGATGCTTCTCATATATCCTGTCCCGAACTGCAGATATACTCAATAAAAGAGGAAGATGGAACACTTGACGTATACATAGGATATCTTAATAAAACGTAATTAGCTATGTAAACATTGTTTTAAGTTGTATTGGTCTCGGTTGATGTCTTAAAAGACTGCATTTCTGATTATTAAAGGAGAATCAATAAGACACATGGGCCCTTTGTTTTTTTAACAAAGTTATTGAGGTTCTTTTAGCATTTAGCAAAGTGAACAAACAAACTCAGGAGGGAACATTAACTACTTGCTTGTTTAGTTAGTATTGTCTTGTTAACACTTTGTTTATTGTCAATTGACAGACTTGTGATTTAATTTTAAGCAAACGTCAAGACTATGTAGGGCCAATTATGCCCCTACCCCTATCCTCTGAACGATATTGTCTTTGCTATTCCGTAATTATAAACGAAATGCTTTTAAGTAAGGCTACGCATTTCTTGTATATATTTCATGATATAATACATTTAAAAAATCGCCATTGTTGTGGACATTTTGAAGTAAGTCTTTTGTGCAAACGAGAATGATTAATAAGAATAATTATCAATATAATTTTTGAGGTAGAAAAGATTTTCATTGTTTAAAATTACTTCAATTTTGTATCGATATGTGAAATTATAATTATCCGTTTTTCGTACAGGTCCACAGAGTTTAATAATCATTTTTATGGAGTATATACACCTAGTTCAACTGATTCAGGAAGAGCAGTTTTTGATGCAGTAAGTGGACCTGCCAAAGGTCTATACTGTAAGTTATACATTGAATATTTTATAAACGTTTCAAGAACAGTTCTTTTAGTGGAATGTTTTGCACAACTAATATTGTTTTCTTAGAAATGAAGGTTTATATGTAAAGAACATTCAGTTGAAATATCAATATCTCTGCCCCGCAAATTTTACCTGTAAATGGCTATGTTTTGTTTTGTTTTTTTTTTTTTTTTGGGGGGGGGGGGGGTGGGGGGGGCTGTAAGTATTAGTCTTCCATGTGTCTAACTACTCTAAGGGTTGCCTGTTCATATTGATAAAGCATTATGTGACAATGATTGTCGGGTGGCATAGGGTCATTTTTATAATTTTATTACTAGGTTGTTATTCTGCTGTCTCGTATTAGTCTCAGGTCATAAAATTTTATTTTAAGGCATTTTACTTAAACAAAATATTCAATAACTTTTTAAATAGTTCTCTGTTATTATCTTTTTTATCGACTGTCTATAAACCTAAAATCAGAGACCAATAAAGAAATAACAAACATGAGCTGTAGGTATTAATATTGTCTATGTGCATATTTTGTTATAATTACAGTTCCATTCACAGTTGTGGATATTGACTACCAAGAATATATGCTTGTGTATACTTGTATTCCTCATCCTAAGAGAACAGGAACAAATTTAGGTAAATAACTATTTCCGAAGTTTCTTTTTTTCCCTGAAAAAATACAGTTATTGTGTGAGTATCTTTCTTTAATGACGTAGATAAATTAAAAAGTCGAAACACAATGTTCCCATGTTGCAACACATTTCTTAATTAGTTCATTATACACATATGTGACTGTATAAATTGCGACTTTTGTCAATTTTCCATCGAATATATCTTCAAATTTTACCGACATCAACATTTGTAATTGTATGAGCCTTTGCTGTATTTCACAGGATGTGTGAAAGTTAAAAGGTATAAAAAATAAATTGTAACGGATCAAAATTTATCGTCAATTTATTTTTTCAATGTAACAGCTACGCTGCAGATCATGAAAATCTTCAAGGATTGACGAGCTGGTAATAATTTTTGGACTAGACAAGTGAATTTATGCAGTGAATGAATTCAATACAGATGACTTCTTATATTCAATCTATGTTTCAGAGTTTGTTATCATCTATTCACGAAAACGAGATAAACTGACTACAGCAATCAAGAATCGCCTGTCAAGACTACTTGACCAGTATGATGTAAATGCAAATAACTTTAGTTCTTTTGATCAGAATAAAGAAACATGTGAAACTAAGACAGAAAAAGGAGAATTGTAATAGCTTAACGAAGTGAATAGATTATGACCACATATGAGAATGAGATCAAATGTAAACGTGTAGTATAATTAGGTCTTTCCACTTTTCTGTTGAAAGACCTATTGGTTTTCTTCTGATTATTTTTTTTTTCTTCCGCCAAATTTTGTTCTTGCGATAAATTTTTGTTTCGCAAGATGTCGCTTAGATGTTTCGTATATGATATCGAACAGTTTATGCGCCTTTGAAATTGACCCTGCTTAACCGAATACTTTTCTTGGTAGGAGTTATCTCCCTGAACACTGTTTTCCTTGTGCATGCATCTCCTCCGTAACCGTATAAGAAAGCAACAAATTTATTTTACCAAATTGCTTGTTATATCCTCAGGATGTTTTGTCCAATTTTGACCGAAGCGATACGTAAACTCCATATGAGAGTTATTTCCCCTTCTGTATTTGACATAAGGGATATATAGATGTATAGCATGAATGGTGAGTGATAGAGACCTAAGGTATATTGATTTGAGATCCTTGGTTCATTTAATTGAAATTGAGGCCAAGGTCAAAGGTCAAGGTCATATTCTAAATTTTGACTTTTCCTTGTTATTTGATCTCCTCTGTCACTTTTAAAGATACAAATTAAAGAACTAGTGCAAAATGTTTGCTCAATTGTGATTAAGATATGATACATTTGGTCTGAAACAATCCAATGATATCTTATAGGAGTTATTGTCCCTGAAATGATTCAATTTAAGGTTAATTGATTATTACTCCAACTTGGTACATGATAAAGCCATAGGGTCTTTTGCAAACTGTTGGTTGACACATGACCTTGAAAAAAGTAAACCGGAAGTCAACTGAAGTGAACCGGAAGTACTATTTTTTGCACTTATTTCATGGAAAAGTACCTAGAAACCATAAATTTTTTGAATGATCATAGGTTTACCTATCATTTGAGACATTTTATAAACCGGAAGTAGCATATTATCTTCCTTATTACAGGCATAAGTATATACAAACTATATATTTTTGGAATCAGTGTGAATAAAGCTATCATATGAGACCGGAAGTGACATTTTCTAAACCGGAAGTTGGCAATTATCTCCCTTATTTCAGGCAAAAGTATATAGAAACCATTTATTTATTGAATCAGTATGAAGAAATCTATACTTTGACGCTATTAACAACTTTGAGTAAACTTGAAGTAGCTTCTTATCAATTATTTAGAAAATTGATGTGGAAAGACCTTCAATTGTTCTTTGAATTATTATTATATTTTTCTTCTTCCGCCACTTTTTTCTGATGGTGCTTTTTTGTTTCGCAAGATGTCGCTTAGATTTTTTGTGTATGATATCGAACAGTTATTGCAATTTTGAAACTGACCCTGTTTAGCCGAATACTTTTTATTGTAAGAGTTATCTTCCCAAACACTGTTTTTCTTGTGTACGCATCTCCATCGCAACCGTAAAAGATTATGACGAATTTATGTCTCCAATTTGTTCGTTATATCCTCAGGATCTTAAGCATAATTTTGACCGAAGCGGTCCAGAAACTCCATATGAGAGTTATTTCCCCTTCTGTATTTAAAATAAATAAAATGTAATTGTAATTGGTAAACCATAAGTGATAAGGACCTAGGGTCTTTTGATTTGAGGTCCTTGGTCCAAAAAAAAGAAAATAGGGCAAGGTCAAAGGTCAAGGTCATTTTTAAATTTAGATTTTGGCTTATTTTCACCTCTTTTCGAACACGGTATAAGATATCGACAACATATTTTTACTTAATTGTTAGTTGCTACATGTCGTAACACATACATATCGGTTTAAAGGGTACGTTTACATCAAATGAGAGTTTTCTCCCCTCTTTTATTTGAAAATATGCATATGGTGATATAACTTATGAACCAAATATAATTAAGTCCTAGGGTCTTTTGATTTTAGGTCCTTGGTTGATGACCTTGAAATTGAGCTCAAGGTCATAGGTTAAATTGACGTTCTAGATTTTGACCTTTGCTTTTACCTCATATGTATACATGATAAATCCATGGGATTTTTGCATTAGGTTTCAAGCCATTTAACCTAAGACAACCGGAAGTGACCTTGTTTAAACCGGAAGTAGCTTGTTTTTTGTACTTAATTGATGTAAAAGTTTATAGAAGCATATATTTTTGGTATCAGTGTCAATTAAACGTTTGAATAATACCGGAAGTAACATTTTTCAAACCGGAAGTAACAAATTATCTCCCTTATTTAAAAAATATTGTATAGAAACTATATATTTTTGGAATCAGCGTACAATAAGCTATCATTTGAAGCTGGAAATGACATTTTAAAACGAATTTTACTATTTTCATATTAAAATACATGTTTTTTGTGGAAAGACCTTCAATTCTTCTCTGAACAATTGGTTTTTAATTATCTTTATGTTTATTCTGTTACATAAACAACTGAATTAAATTATACAAAATTCTGGAACGACATTATATATTCAATGTTTTAAAAGAAAGTTGAAGGCTGTAAACTATAAAGTTAAATAAAACTGATAATTTATCCTCTCTTTTTCCATTTATGTAGATGGTAGTCCATAATTTTTATTGATACATGTAATGAAGTTTCTGTCAGATAATGAAATTTCTGCAGTTCAGGATTCACTTTGAATTTCATAAATGTAAAGTTATTTTTAGCATACATTTTACCTATCAGAAAAACTTAAACTTAAACAAGATTGTTTCAAATAATTGAAAAAATCTTAATGTAAAAAGAGTTTGTTTAAACTGTGTTATCTAAGAGAGTCTTGCACATTTGTTATACATCATGTATTTCATTTATAACATATGACAGTTAATTGAAACATGAAAGCTACACAGTTATGTGCTCAAACTACATTTCTATAAACAGTATAGACAAGAGTGCAAGTGCTGAAAGGTTTTGCCGGCTTAACCGATCATGATTGAATTTTTGTTGAAGTCTTAGGAAAACAGTTATACTACCAGTATTACATCAAATAAACATTATTAATGATCCATGTAAATGAGGTCAAGGTCAATGTCAGGTAGACATGTACGCCATACAGTAAATTTTAGTAAACTAATAGTATCTGAGAAACAGACCTTACCAAGGAAACTTAACATTAACTAATGAACCATGAAAATGGTCAGATAAACCTTGCCAAAATGAGCACAACAATCATTCCATACACCAAATAAAGTTAACCTGAACATAGTATCTGCGAAACAGACAAATCATGAATAAACTTTTGACAGCGATATGTTTCCCTTGTTGGCAGTTGAGTAAACTACAGACTCTAAAGAGCCTGTGTTGCTCACCTGCATCTTCAACTACTTTTTAATAAAACTCAACATTAAATGGGAACAACTATATTTAGATTTAATTGAATTTTTCAGTCATGTTGACATATATGTGGATCTTATCCTGCTGACAATTTTTTCTTTCTAAAATTTCTATCTATTATAGTTATCAAGATAAATGGCAAAAAAAAATGCAAAAAATGTAAAAAAATCGAATTAAAGGGCAATAACTCTAATTGTGATTCGACTGAAGATTTCAACCATAGGGTTTATTCGTAGATCTTGTCTTGCTGATTATTTGTTCTTTTTAAAGTTTCTATCTATCTATTATATTTTTTAAGATTTTAGGCAAAAATGCAAAAAATTGGTAAAAATCGTCATTGAAGGGCAATAACTCTAATAAGGAGTTGTCTGACAATTTTGGTAATTATATGGTTGTCTTATTTGTAGATCTTGTCTTGATGATCATGTTTGCTTTTTAAAGTTTCTGTTTATCTATAATAATTCTCGAGATAATAGGGGAAAAATTTTAAAATGGTAAAATTCGTCATTTAAGGGGAATAACTCTTAAAAGAAGTTGTCTGACAGTTTTGACGTAAACGGACAGAAGTTAGAGCTCAACATTTTGAACATTTTTGCTTCCGTCAGAATTTATAGCAGTTTTCAAAACAATGGGCAAAACTTGCATTTTATCCCTATATTCTATTTTTAGCCATGTCAGGCATCATGGTTGTCATGCAGGGTCATCGGACATAGTTTTTAAACTAGATACCCTAGTGATGATTGTTGTCAACTTTGGTTAAACTTGGCCAAGTGGTTTCAGAGAAGATTTTTGTAAAAGTTAATGGCCTCCACCGCCGACTACAATTGTTGATGAGGCAAAATGATGAGAAAACGACGGGAGAGCTGAAAAAGGATGGACAGCAACATTGCTAACAAATTCAAATGTTACTGGACCATGACCTAGGGGGACAGGGCCACGAAATATTCGACAAACTAAGATGTGGTGATAGTAATGCAACTTTATACAAAATAAACATATCATTGATCTATCACAAATATCAAACTGACTAAAGCAGAAAACTTAATATTGAAAATTGCTTACTAATTTAAAGTCGCAGGACCATAGCCTAGGGTGCAGGGACTCAAAAAAGTCATCAAACTGATATGTACTGAAAGAAATGCAACTTTATAGAAAATACAATTAATCTATCACAAGTAGTTCCTACCAAACTGACTTCGAGAACAAACATAACAATTGTTGACACCAACGAAGACACACGCTTCATTGCGGGAAAAGCAACACCTATATCTTACTTTCCGCTTCATTGCGGGAAAAGCAACACCTATATCTTACCTTCCACGACTTTTGTCGCAGGCAAGACAAAATCCATAACACTGACCATTAGATCATGAAAATGAGGTTGATGTCAGATAAAACCTGCCAGATTGACATGTACACCTTTTAATCATTCGATATAACGAGCATGGTTGACTTACTGCTTAAAGATCTAAACAGTTGTTTATGCAATGCATAATGCCGTGGACATGAGGTTTAGAGCAATGGACATACGCCAGTTGGAAACTTGCAACAGAATGCATCTGTAAACAAAGTATAAAACATCTATATATTCTAACCTTCTGAAATATACAGAAGCCAATAATTCAAATATTAACAAATGATAAAGATGACAACAAGGTTTTTTTTTTACAGATTTAGATAATTCTTCATAAAATACTAGGGATGTCAACTCGGTGAAGATTTAGTAATCGAGTACTCGTTGGATTTACCGCGCGATACTCGAGTACTCGCTCGGAACAACATCTACAAAATGGAAACACAAAATTATACCCGTTTTGCGTATTGTGGATCGTTGTCTTATGGACGTAAAACCCTCATCATTATTACTTAGGACTAGATAACAGTCCCAAGAATTTCATACCATAATTTATAGTTTACTCTAAGTACTAATTATATAAACTGACAATTATTTAATCAATTGACCAATAAACATCTATAGTCAAATGATTACTCAAACAACAGTATTTGGGAATCGTAAAAAAACACATTTAATGATCAACAAAGGGCTGATGATTAGAACTTACTGATGCCTTTAACCATTTTCTGAGGGTCGACACAGGGTGCAACGAATTTGTCCTTACTTAGACATATTATTTTGTCAACTTTTTATGGGACGAGTCGATTTCTAAAAAGATGAAAGCATTTGCTCTGATGGTACAGAGGTGGTGGAATGACTAAGATATGTTCAGCTAAAAGTGTAAAACCCGGAAAGGTGCTCTTGTTCATAGCCTACCTCTGTTCGAGGGAATTCTAAACGACAATTAAACGCAAACATTCGAAACGTATTTTAATTTTAATAAATTTTTTATTGATATTTCATTTCCCGGGAGTCGCTCTTGATAAAAATATTTTTATTTAAGAAGACAACAACATTCTAACAGAAAACCGATCAGTCGAGTATCATTTTGGTATTCGATACTCAGTACGACCGAGCGATACTCGAGTACTCGAGTACTCGTTGGCATCCCTATAAAATACAGATCTTGAAAGTACCACTTTTTTATCAATTTTCTGACCTTTTCCTATTTGTTATTTCAGGTAATAAACAAAGAATTGTACACCTTATAGTAAAAGGTGTGATAAAGCCGCTCTTAGCCCCTTAAATTAAAAAGTCAAAATGTCTTGAAAATATATATCAAATAACATAGTTCAGATGTTCACAAGACATAACAGCTCTTTCAATACATCCTCCTTTGTTTGAAAATGTACATACAAATACTGTTTACTCAGATATGTTTACAATTTTTTTTATTATTGTGAAAATGTTGACAGGAAAGATGTCTCAAAAATAGAACAAGCAAATTTGATAGCATTATTAATTGTATACAACATATCCTGTATTCACAATAATTTATCAAGCATTTGTGTACACTGTTGAAAAATTGCAAATATTAGTGCATGCAAATATTTCTAAATTTACAGTATCCAAAAAATATCTATATAAACCATAACTATGCTTGAGAAAATGCTTAAGTCTTTGTTATCTTTACGGCATCTGCAGAGCAGCTTAACTTTAATAAAGCAGCAATCAGTTCTCTTCTATCTTCAGCTTAAAGAATGTCATACATGTTTGTATAATATATGATACCACTGTATGTTGTGCTTAATCCTTTCTCCATATGGAGGAGGTAATTACGACTGAGTTTCAGACAGGTCATCATCATCTAATAAAAAGAAAACATATAACATACAGTACTAGTCAAGGATCAGTTACTATATACCATCATGTCATTTTCTTCAATAACGGAAGGGTTGCGTAAAAACAACAGACTGCTGATATCTTCAGACAATTATGTTTACTTCATTTGTAAATACTCTGTTTTCGTTATTCTTGTTAAGATAGGGGAAGGCCCAATTTTAGGTAAATTGAACGTGCAGTGGGAAGATACACGTTTGAGGACATGACGTCACCGCTTTATGACGTCCTCAATTTTGTAAAACTTACCATTTCAACACATAGCAATATCTAACCTCGCTTTAATATATTTAATTTCTTACAAAAGAAATTAAAAAGCTTTATAGATTTCAAAATAAAAGTGTTTACTTCTTTCAATACAGTGTAAGTGGATAATTTCAAATACATAAACTAACTTGCAGACCAAGAAGGAAACCTTTAAAATAAATGGTCAGAACGGTTATGTGTTTTGTTCAATTGACATACATTCTTGTCTTCTTTCTATGCAATAAGTATAACAGTAATGTCCAGATTCATGGTGCCTACAATATTTCCCTCAAAACATGCAAAAATCGGTTTAGTAGTAACCCATTTTTCATTGATTATAAGAAAATTAAAATCCAGGTCTATGTTTCTAAAAGTAACTTTTGGTAACCCTTTTTATACTAAAATAATATTTTCCCAAAGTATTCATGAAGAAATTTATTTGAGAAAACGGCAAATTTCTGACGGTAACTGGTGCTCGCCAAGTATAATATTGATGTTGTTATAATACAAATCTATCAATAATTAAAAGTTTTTGATTATTTAATTAACATTTTCATTGACTAGTAATCAATTAAAGGAAAAATATAGAAAAAATATTAAAAGAAACGTTTTGACATTTCTTGTGGAAATGTACAAATACCTTTAAACACCTATAAAATATTCAGTTTGTACACCCATGTGCTTTTTTTGTGATCAACACTCTGCATTCATGCATCTA